TATATCTAAAATAAAATAATCATTTATGAAAAATTTAACATTTGTTTACTTTGCTTTCGTAATACGTACATGATCAAAATCAATATGATAAATCCCCCAGCAATACTCACTCCAACAATCCAGAGAATAAATGTACTTGTTCCTAAATATTAAAATAAATTTTAAATTTATTAAATATCTTCAATAAATATACTTTTAGTTGTAATTATATGACATATTTCTTTTTGAAATGATTGATCGATTCGTTCATAAAAACAATAAAGACAAATTTTATATTTTGTTGATGAATGAAGACGATTAATTAAAATCGTTTGAGCTGATGTTTCCATAATATCCTAGAAAATAATTTTCTTTGCTATTTTGTAACAGCAATAAAGCTCTAACCTTAACTATCATTGATGCCTTCGGATTATCTACTAGATAAACGTGTCCTACACACAAACGTTCACTTACTGTTCCTGTGCTATTATAATTAATCACTATAGTTAAGTGATTACTCGAAATATGTGCTATTCGAAAATCGGTTTTAGCTATATGTACTAGAAATAAAATAGAAAGCATTATCGCTAATAAAAAGAAAGTCTATCATAGTTCTTACTAGCTTCCAGGTTAAATTTATAATAAGTTGATCCAAAATGCTTTAATGTTATATTAACATCCATAGAAATTTTCGTCGGAATTCGATTTTTATCACGAGGTACAAAATTAAAAATAAGTTCATTTTCATCAGTAATATTAATCAATTTTGGTGGATGAAAATATTCTTTTCTAAATAAAAACAAAATCAACATGCTAGTTTTTGAATATTAATTTAAATATACTGAGAAGTCAATTCCGAAAACTGATAAACTTTTGGAAAGCCATTTCGAAAAGCACGTCCAATTACTGGTGCATGAAATATACATTGAACATAATGATGATCATATATTTGGCAAGATTGACTTAGTTGAATAAGACCAGGTTTTTCTACAAAGAACTTTTTTTTTATTTGATTGTTGAGAGAAAATAAATCATTATCCACAGGTGTTTTTAAAATTATTTATATCTGAGATGTAATAAAAAAAAACAAGAATAGATTTATGACTTTAATTTATTTATAATAGAACGAAAAGATTCCTTTTCTCATAACTGAAATAAAAAAATCAGATCTAAGGGTTTCAAGAACAGAAAAAATATTTTGTAAAATTTTCTTGAATTTGAGATAAACAAGGAAACATACGACTATTTGATTCTAACACTCATCATATATTTTCAATTACTACTAGGTCTTAGTCTCGTCTATGAAAGAAAAGAAAAGAATATTCTAATCTTTATTTTTTTATGTATAAAGAACAGATGACTGACTGATAATATTTTGAACAAACATTTTCTTAATCCATTTTGTGTCGTGTAAAATTTCGAATGAGAAAAATGCTTCGGTTTTTTTTTATCTAAATACCTCCAATTGTAAGATTGATCGGTTTACCATAGGTAATATTATTATTCCAATGGCAAATAATGCGATTAATACCAATATAATCATTGGGTATAATACGGATACGTATGGTAGTAGAATTAACTTGTTCAGTTTTTAATTCAAATGCTGGAGAGGTTAAAACTGAATAATTAATTGAAGCCATTAAGTTATTATTTTGCTCATTTAAATCAATTCGACTAGAACAATAGAAAATACCTTGTTTCTCTGTTGAGTTAAATACAAATTCCTCTTGATATAAAATTAAAAAGAAAAAAAGAAAACAATATATATTAATAATGTAGGCAAAAATGAAATTTTTAAATAATACTTTTTATTGAGCCATTGATATCATAAAATTCGAATTCATTATGATCATCATATTTGTTTTGAGCAATAACGAGACATATCATGTTTAAAAAAATAATTGGTCTTATTGAAAAGTATGTATTCATGGAAAATTGATAAAGTATTGTTATTAGAAGTTAAAAAAAAACGAATGTTACGATATCATTTGTGGTTCCCTGCAATATGATTGTGTTGCTTTTTCTTTTCTCTTCTTTTATTTCGTCTTATCCGTGTGGCTGAGAGCATGTCAATAAGGCTCTGATAAACATACGATTTTCGCCGATAAAATGTAGGAAGAAAAGAACACGAAGTTTTTTCTTTATCGTAGTCGATAAAAAAAAATTAAACTTCGCGGAAGAGTGTAAGTGTCCTACTAAACTAAGATTCACTCATACCCACACGCCCATCCCAACAGAATTTCTCAAATTAAAGCTATATCTAAAAATAAATATTCTATTGTGAAGAATTTAAATGTCGTCGTCTGTCATGAAATGATTGATGACGAAACACGTTCGTCTGATATTTTGAATACTGATTTTCAGCAAAAGAATATTGTATTTTTTTTTGCATTCGTTGTTACTTTAAAGAGAGATTTGATAACTAATGACACATGCAACTATGTAATACTCTCATAGATATAAAGTCGAATTCGATATATATCAAGCAGTTCTTGAACGTTTCCTATATAAAAAGAATCGAGTAATTCAAATAATGAATCTTTATTATATAATTGTCTTCAAACATTATTATATTCAGTTCCACAAAAAAAAGATAATCTCATTGTATTCTATCATGTTCATATTGAAATTTAAGTCAAAGTAACAAAAGGATTCGATCGTGCATCATTCAAATTCAGCAAAAAATAAATGAAAACGTCCAACAACACTAGTTTATGATCTCCACACTATCCATCAGGTGTAATCTAGTATTTCGAGCTATATACTTCAACTATGTTTGGATTAGTTCAGAACACACTTAAATCCATTATGTCTTGTCCGTCTAGTCTGTTCATTCCGTCCAGACTAGTCAGCAGAACAGAAAAGCGAAAACAAAATGAGACAAAAGATGGATTCAAACATTTGATTCAACAGCGTTTGACATCGAATGGATCGTCTGATGACAAATACGATTTAACGACAGACAAAAGTCAATTTCAACAGTCTAAATAGCATAGTAGCGCTTGTTCATTCGGTATGTAATTGAAACTAACTGAAGAAATTCGAGTTGACTAATCTGAAAGGTCGTCAACATATTTAACGAATTGATGTGTTTATATATTTCATCCTATTCTGCGTATGAATTTACAGGTTGTTTTTCTTCATATCAAATTATCTATCAAGCACTGCTCTGGAAAGTAAGAATTTATACTGTTTTTTTAGAGTGAATATGCCAATTATGATTGAAGCACAAAAAAATACATAAAAATACAAAATATTCTGATTACTTTTAATCGAATATTGTCTATTAATGCTCCTTAAAACTTTTTAAACCGTAAAATAAATTATAAATAATTTAGTTTAAAACATAATTCAAAGATCTTTGTGTAAAAATATTATTGTAATTAAAATTATTCTGCTGATATGAATTCAAGAATATGTGAATTAGATAATTTTAATTTATCAGTTTAAATTGTAAAAACTCAAAATTGAAATAAATTTCAATTAGGATTCATAGATTCTAGTGATGGGTTCCTGTGACAGTCCGTAGGTAAGTCGGAGATTTTCATTGGAATTTGTCTTCCAATGATGTCCGTGTACTAACTAGCAGTAACTGCCGAACGAATCATCCTCTGGATCTCTATCATTTTCTGAACTACGGTGCTAGATCTGTGAAAGCAGTTCCGTCTCAATTGCTTAGATAGAGCGAGAGTTGTAAGTCATTGCATATCAGCCTCGAGAGAGAATGAACTAGGGCATGCTCTATGATGCTGCCTGATGTGCCTCATTTTCATTGATATGATAGAAGTCACTGTTTGACAGTTTTCCTTCAAACCGCTCTGAAAAATATTGAAGTCGTAACTTTTCAAAGACCTTCTACAAAAAAATCACACAAAACAGTATAATCGGCAAATGAATTTTGAGGCAGTCATAGCTCAAGGATGATTCAACAAAATGAGATGAAACATTTTCTACACACGCATATTACGCCATGCCGTATCAGAAGAAGATTTCAATCACAATATTGATGCATAACTTTTCTGCAGGTAGCGGTGAAAGCAGATGAAATACATGTTTTAGTCATGTATAGGGTTGCCAAAAATGTTTTGCCCAGGCGGTACAGCTCCCATGGCGAATAATATCAACATTGAATTTTATATCAAATTACAGCGCGTCAAAAATGGAATTTTATCAATATCAAATGGTAGAGGTTATGGTAACTTTTCAATGTCGAATTCATGAAATTTCTACAATTTGACACTATAGTGGCAAAGAAAAATTTTTTGCATGAGGCAGTTCAAACTAGGTCTGATTTTAAATGATGAATATTGTAACGACATGATGAGAGAGAGATATGATGTCATGACAGACTGGAGGAGTAGCTAGCCGCTACTCGGCAATGATGTTTATTAGCTACTGCACATGTCCAGAATCTGTCTATTGCACATTCAACACACTCTTATATATGATACGGAAACAAAGGGAGAGAGACGACACAGAGAGAACAATAGAGAGAGAAAGAGGAAAGAGGAAGAGCAGCGAGCCGTGACGTATATATCGGCACAGATATCACAAGGTAATCGACACCTATTCTAGACATATTGGGACGATAATCAAAAATAAAGTTGAAAAAATGTTATTAGAGATGGAATATAAACTTTATCACAAAGAAACGCTGGCAAAACACATTTCAGATCTTTTGAAAACACAGAAACAAACATTGAGCTATCCGAAACTCTTTGATGTTCGTATCTGTCTCGTCTTCGTGCTATTAAGAACGTCAGTTTTTCTCATACTGATCATGTTCATCGAATATCAGAAAATACAAGTCATCTTGTTATATTCATTATTAACAAGTAACACTCATCCGATGGATTCACTGACCCTTTTCTCAAAGAAATCCTGTGCTGCTTCTGCCAGATAGGGAGCTGTGAGTCCTGCCAGACCCGAGCTTGACCGATTGAAAAGTTTATTTTATTATTGGATGCAGGTCCAGAAATTCAGATTTTGTTGGGTCCGGGTATATATCCAGATTTATCTTCAGGTCCAGTTTGTGTTAAGCTTCGAATCTGAACAGAACTATTTGAGGAACGACAACAAGAAATAACTTTGCATTGACTTTTTCGCTGAGTATACAATGGTTGAGTACTTCATCACCATAAAGGAGGTCGTCGAAAACTACGATCACCGAAACTTTTATACAAACGTATCACTGACTTTCGGCGATACAATTTTCGGCGAAGAGCGTACTGATCTTACCAATAAATGGCTAAAATCTTGACCCTTTATTTGGTCACGTAGACAAAAAGTCCTAAAATATCAGTGAAAAAAAATTGACTTTTGATCCAATTGGGTGTGGATCGAGCCCATGTGTGGATGTGTGGTGTGTGAGTGGGTGTGGGTGTAGTATGGGTGTCGGTGTGGATGTAGTGTGGGCGTGAGTGTCAGTGGATCAAGAGAAGATTCTCCCTCAGACCCAGACTCAGACCCACACCCATACCTCACACGCACAAACACACCCGTCGACATCCACACTCACACCCACACCCACAGTACTCACGTCGGCATGTTTTGGGTCACCTTTCACAATTTATCAAAGAGAACTCAACTATTACATAAAGCTTTCTTATTTTGTTGTAAACTTACGGAGCTCAGAGAGTTCGAATTCGATCGGACAGAATTGACCACCTAGAAATGTACGAATACGCTTTGTTCACATTGAAGAAATGTATCTTGATGATTTCTCATTTAAACATTCCTGCATACATCCAATATCTTTCAATCATTCATAAATGATCACCAAAATCAGTTCTAGTATGCCTTCTTCGACTGTGCGATTGTTTCGTGCTTCTGTGCCTGTGTCGGTTTTTACTCACATCTTTATGTATCTCTCTGGTTAAAAACAAAGCTGTTTTTTTCTAATGCAATACGAAGAAAGAAGGAGAAATTTGTTGACTTTTTCATGGCATTCATAAGTGGTCAATTATTTTTAGTTTTTATTTAACGACGAAGTGCAGTTGTGCAAGGTATGTAAATATATAAAAATGACTGTTTGAAGCATGATAAAAGATCAATCATTCCTTATTTGGCACTGTTTTTTTTTATCGCATTCAACAATTTTTGGTGTATCGCTTCAAGATCTTTGTCTTATATTCGTTGCACGACTGTGCTAACCAGAAACGGTCTCTCTCTCATTTGAGAAACGAACTGAGTCAAGAGTATGAGTATGAACAACAAATAGCGACCTCGTTTTTCTGTTAAGGGTATCTTGTCTTGCTTTTGACTACTTTCTGGTGCTCCTCGTGGATACAATTGTTGGAACTAAAGATCTGGGGCAGATTTGACCGCAAATCCAATCTTATTTAAAAAATAGAGGAAAATCCAATAGATCTTAGGCCTTTTGATTCAATGCGACTTCTACTCTTCAATAGTATAGTTTTAGACACCCACATTCACACCTGCCAAGATCCACTTACATAATTTGCAGGCTACAATGCGACGCTGAAAACTACGAAAATCTGAGCGGACTCTCAGACTAGATCGCAAAACTACTCAAATAGTTTCCCAGCTACATTCACTACTACTCTACTTTCCGAATTTTCCAGTAATTCCATGTACATCCTCCATATTTCCCATATCAATCAGCATCCTATAACAACACAAGTACGCTTCTTTGAAATCGTAATACCTTCATCTACACCATCTCCTAATCTACATTTAACTTACAAACCATTATCATCCAATACATCCAGCCGCACATCACAAAATGAAAACACACATCGCTCAAACTTTCTTGAAATGTCTACATGACCACGCATCTATACCCATTCAGCAAACACTACCTTCCAAAAGCACTAGTACACTGCTACACGTGGCTCCATTACTTAACCATTCATCTTTAGAAATAT